ATGACTCCAATTCTATCAGGAAATTCAGGGAAGCAATATTTTATAATGCTACAGGGCATGAACCATTATTTTGAAGGAAAAAAAGCTGAGTACTTATCCTGCTACATACTGAACCGTGCAATATAAGCAGTTTTGTTTATTTATTTTTTTTTAACTTATTATTTTGTACAGCCTCGTCTGACCCAGACACTGTTTGCGTCAGTGGCGCTGATGGCTTTGGCTCTGTAATACTGGCTTGTAACGTAACAGTTTTATTAACGTGTAACGTAACATATAAATTAGATCCATTTTCAATTCATCCAGAAAGCAGAACTAAAGATTTTTGGGTTTAGTTATAGTTTTTCAAGATTGGCATACATCAGAATCAGGCCAAAATCTGATAGAGGAACAAAATCTCTGATTACCACAGATATGACTAATAATTCACTCTCTCAGTTGAATTTCACATTTAAAAACACATGCAGGGAGTGCTAAAGTGAAGTGACATGACTTCACATTTGAGGTGATCTAGCAAAAATACAAACCAAATGTTGTATGTCCAGACAAATTATTTCATTTGAAATAGCTTAGACATTTGAGTAATGAGATTATGTGTCTAAGATACTTAATGTATCTAAAATAACATACACTGAATTTTGCAGACTGTAGTTTTTGATCATGAATCAAATAATCAGACTTGGTTTGTTCTTGAAAACATGGACAAACCATTTGTTTACAGAAAGGTAAACCAAGCACTTAAAAAATGACATAAGTTTCAACTGTCTACCATTGCAAAACAACTAATATCATAAATGTACTAAAGATGGACCTAAACAAGATTCCACAGATGTTTACCAGAAAACAGAGGCGATAATCTCCCTTCAGCTCAAAATAAAACCATATCCAAGTTCTGAAAACAAAGACAAAACAAAACATGGGGGTAAGTAGATGACCCTGGAGGCACTGACTGACCAACAACTTCTTCTGGATTAGCTTTTTCCACATCCCCACAGGCCTTCTGGTTCAGGAATCTGTTAATAATAGGGCTTAACGAGTCTGCATGGGAACAGGCAGCGCTTATGTAGGTGGAAACAGCGAAACATGTGAGAGACAGCCGTATCAGGATCCTGCCTGAGAATGCAGCAACAGGGAGAAGTTGTATTCCCAGAAAGCCTGACACAGATTTGTACTCCTTCATGGCACCTGATTATATTCATGTATATGGATGCGGTCCGCGCATTTCCCGCTTTCAATATATTGGTGCCACATAAAAACAGTGCGCTTGCTTGCACCCAGATGAAAAATATTTGGCCTTATTCCATGCAGTCCTTGCATTTAATGCGCAGACGTGACGTTCAGCAAACAGCATGCCCCCTCATTAAAGCCCGGCTTGTCAGGCTGCAGCTACCCCGCATTGAGACAGCAACACCGGCTCTTAATGAGCCACCCAGGACTAATTCATTCAAGCAGTAACATTTCGCAGGTGTGTCTTTAGGCTGGTCTAAAAACAGGACCTCTGCTTATTTTTTATTTATCTATTTTTTTAACCCCATAAATACTTCTGTTGACGTCGACTTAAATGTTAATGTAACATATAAAAGCAGTGCTGACGAAGATACCCTGGTCCGCCCAGTCAGGATGAGAGAGACATCTTGGAGCTTACCAGGGAGCATGACCGATGCCTTCGAAGGTCTTCGTGGTCCTCTGTAGCAAAACCCAGCAGGGCAAAAACATTCCTGTGGCAGACTAAAAGACAAAAAAAAAAAAAAACCCTTCGGTAAAAAAGCTACAATTAGCAAAAAGGTGTGGAAAATCGTCGCACGCGATTTAAAAATAAAAAACCTCCGTTCACGGTGACTCCGCGTGCCAATTGTAATTCACCAGCAGCCTCGCGACCTCCGCTGCGTCGGAGCCGCGCGCATCTCAGTCAGCAGAGTCTCTTTTCCGCGAGAAGAAAGCTCCCCCTTCTCCACCGACCGAAGAGCCGCTGTTTTTCACGGCCAGCTGAGACGCTACTGTCACAACACGGAGGCCCCTCCCAGATGTTTCATGCCTCCCAGTGTGCGCCAGTGATACTAATGTCATCCAGTTGTTATTAAGCGGAGTGGCATGAAACGGAAAAGCAGTAAAAGCTAACTGAAGTGATTTTCCTCCTTTCCTTTCTTAGTTTAGGTAAGATTAAATGTGTATTAAACTTACATGCATTGTTGCTAGAAATAGTCATTAAATATTCTAAAAGTGAAATTGTATTTGTATGTGTGTACATACACCGAATATATATTTTAATTCAGAGAAGATGAACGAAAGTCACTTGAATCAACACAGAATAGTTTAGTGTATTGCGATTGTTTTGTTAAACTATTGCTTTGTCATGAGACACTATAAGGTGGTCAGCCTGGCCACTGCAGACAAATAGTTTTTCTGGAATGGGAAGTTGTTTCTCTGCCATTACAAGAAGATGATTGGTGGCATTAAGCCCCATCCTCCTGGCTGTGATTGGTTGGTTTCGACAGGGAGCGGTACATTTCTTCAGAATCGTGAAGAAGCCATATCCTTTCACAGATTTTCTGACTTTTACCTTTACATGGTTTTCACATGCAAGAAGAAAAAAACTTGATTTTTAATAAGTTACATAACCCAAGAAGAAGCAGCTAATTGACTGCACAAAATGCAAGGCAATCCTGGAAGAAAATCTGTTATGCATATCTTCCAGCAGGTCAATAATCCAAAACATAAGCAAAACTGAGCGCCTATTTAAACACTTTAAATTTCTCTGACTAAGCTTGAATCTTTTAAGCAAAGTAGAAAATTTAAGTTTCTATATACAACATAAAAAGAATAAAATTAAACTCAAATCATTTTTCTTCCCCTTTACTATTTAGCTGTTTGATCACAAAAAGACATTAAAATACATTGCAGTCTGAGTGGTACTGGCAAAAAAAAAAAAAAAAAACGGGGGGAAGCTGGAGACATAAACGAGATCAAATCATAATATCAGATGGACGGCTCAGGTTTAACTGCTTGGAAAAAATTGTAGCTAGGCAACCAATACATGATTTAGGCAAAGAAGGGATGTTAAACACGGAGCTGGAAGGATGTGTAGACGGGTGTGACAGAGGTGGACGGTAAGAATTAGGCACCTCTGGTAACCTGTACAGGAAGCAAAGTCACAATTTCTTTCTTTTATTAACAACAGAAAAACATTTTCTGTCTCCAAATGCAATAATTAATCCAAATAGAGAACAATAAGTTCCTCGCTCTTATGATCAAAACACATGATCCATAGAAAAACCAACAACTAAATTTTGGGTACTGATTTTAAAAAGTCTTTGATCCAACTCTTCCAATATGATTTCCTCCGATGACTAAATTACAATAGAATTTTTAAGCATCAAATATACACAAAGTAATTGAAGAAAACATGATAACCAAAATACATATGTTGAAAATGCATAAAGTTTCACATTGTCAAAAAAGTCACTGAGTTATTCCACAAACATCCCAAAACAGACAGCAGGGGCAGCAGAAAAAAACTGAAGAAAAAAAAAGGATCCGATTGTTTTAAACTCTATTAAATAATTTTAAATATTTTTATTAGCCATGGATGCAAATGAGGGAAAAAGTCTAAACAATTCAGCTTCATCAAAGTTTTTGAATGGCATCATCTGCCTGATGACTGGACTCCAACAGCACCTTCATTTAAGGACATCACTCTGGAGTGTACACACACACACACACACACGGGAAGTAAACAGGCCCTCAGAACAATTACATACAAATATCCTCAACTTCTGACGTTATGCTACCCTTTGTGCAAAAAACATCTGCCAGAGCCCCTCCAAATTATAATCTTTCATGGGTTTTCACCATTTAAGTTGCACATCTTTCAGCTTCAATGTGACAACTGCTTTCTTAAAAAAAAAAAAAAAAAAAGTCCCACTCTGTTTTCGGGTCAGGAAGTGACCGGACGAGATAATAACAAGGAGAGGTAGTGTTTTGTTTCTTTCAGGAGCAACTCACTCACTGCCAAACTGCTACCGGTTTTTTTAAAACACATTCTTATTTGACGAACTTGCAAGTTTCTTTCTCCCAACGGCCGAACTCGCACAGGCTGTTTTGCAAAGGCATACGTCAAGAGAAAGTGTGCTGGAGACATTTCAAAAGACAAACCCAACAATAATCAAACGGTTTCTTGAAAATAAAAAGATTGGAAAGAGAGAGAGAGAGAAAAAAAACTGCTACATGACAAAGGAAGCGTGCTGGTCGTTTCGTACTGAGAATGTCTCCATTTGTATTCTTCATTGCAGCAAAGGATACAAAGTAAATTTATGTGATCCACAACAACGTTATTTATATGACGACTGCAAATAATTTCTGCCTGAGGCGATCATTATATCATGTTTACTTGCCTCCAAAATAAAGAAGATGCTACTCTAAAATGCAATCAATCAACGGTAAAGTAAGAGGGTACGAAACAGAAATTAGAGCAAGATAGTAACATGACATAAGACTGGCAAACTAGAGTTACAAACTCTGTCCAATTTGCAAATTAAATTTTTTTCCAATCAGAATCCAACCCCTCTTTAACTCCATTATTCTTAAACACTGGTGTAGCATGGAAACAAGCATGGAGACCAAAGTTGCCAGCGAGAAAAACTGCCTAAAGTATCAATTTGTCTGAGGACTGACTATTCAAATATGTAGTAGTAGCAGTAGTAGTAGAGGGGCCTTTTTTTTTTCAAGTAAGAGACAAATGCACCATGGGAAATTAAAATACATAATCCCACACACTGTCAAAACGCACAGACAGTTGTTTAGAAAAAAAAAAAGAAAAAAAAAGTGAACACCAGTGTGATAAAAATGTGAAAATTATATATATATATATACATACATACACATATATATATATATACATACACACATATATATATATATATATATATATATATATATATATATATATATATATATATATATATATATATATATATATATATATATATATATACTCATACAGCTCCTGGAATTCCTTTGGTGATTTTCAAAAAGGTAAAACATACTATCACAGTCCAGAGGTAAGTCTGTCAAATTGTCTCTCAACTGTACAATATAGTGAAAAGAAAGAAAAAGAAAATGGCACAAAATAGGAAAAGAAAAAAAAAAAGTCACTGCTTCCATCCAACTGTGTTTTTTCACTCTCTGTGATGGATTTGAAGTTCTTGTAGTGCTTTGCAGCTCGCACAGGTCCGCTCGTTCTTCTTGATCAGGAAGTCGCACGTGGCTGACCGCTCCAGCACGATCGGCCCTTTGTCGAACGACGACTGCTTGATGGGGAGTCCCTGGCACACGACGTACCGCTCCAGAGACAGCAGCAGGCTGACCACGTCGGTGGCTGTGCCGAGCCGCGACGGGTGGATGTCGTAGAGCGGGTGGATGGGCAGCAGCGGCTGCTTCTGGACGGTGACCTGGTAGCAGAAGCCTGGGTCGATCAGCACCATGGTGTCGGCCATGTTGGACTGCTTGGAGCACTGGATGAGCTGCAGCTGCGGGCCCTCCACCATGATGGCGTACCAGAGGATAGGCAGCACGGAGGAGCGGAGCGAGTGGAGCAGCTTCATCAGCTGGTTTTCCAGGTCCACGCTGCTCTCCGTCGGATTCTCAGCCAGACTGAAGATCTGTGTGATCTGTGGATGATCCCAGGAATGAACAACACGGGATTATTTGGGAAACACGTTGAAAAAAAATAAATAAAGAGAAACACCGGACACTCACCATGGGGAACTCGTCCTTGTCATCTTCCATGTGCTTTGGGGCATTTCTGCCTGTGTGCGATTTCTCTGTATCCCACTGACTGTGATGGTCCTTCAGTAAGAAATGCAGTCTAATGAGTTAAAACCGTTGAGCATAATGAAGCATTATCTCACAAACACTTTAAAGGAAAAAAGAAACATGAAGGAAAGCTTATCAAAAAGAAAGTAGGGATGCATGATATATCAGCACTGACATTGGTGTGAGTGCATCGGCATCGGTTTGAAACATAAATCGGGGCTGATATTAACAACCTATATCTACTTCCATCTTGTTGTCTTTCCTTTCTGGAGGGGAAGTGGAAGAGGTTCCTTGTGTGGTATTTGTTTGGTCATGTGACAGCGGTAATGATGCAGTGCAGGATTGTGGGAAGTTTCACTGAACCAGAAACACAGTAATGTAGTATCGGTAAGTATCGATTATTGGCCGTAACAGCAATATTAACACTGGATACCAATATTGCCCCAAATTTTCATATCGGTGAATCCGGTCTCCTGCAACTCTTAGACGTCTCCCTGGTCCAACACACTTGAATCCAACAGCTGAATCACCTCCTAAATGCAGTCAAATTCTCCAGAGTCCTGCAAATGACCTCATTATTTGACTCAGGTGTGTTGAAGTAGAGACACATCTAAAAGTTGCAGGAGACCGGCCCTCGAGGCCTGGAGTTGCCCACCCCGGGGCTAGAGCCTTTCCTCTGCCTACATCCCCCAGAATGCAGTGCGGTTCTGGATGTGCGCTCAGAGAAATTCTTGAGTACTCTATCAGACATATTATCTATTGTTAAATTGTTACTGATTTAATGCCCGGCTCACGATAAGCATCTCTAAAATAGTAAACATAGTACTTCTTAATTATGACAGACATATACAGAGAAAAAAACATCCAATCAGAGAGCAGGAGACTATGTCACTACCTGCTGACCAAATTCTTCCAACACTGAGCCACAAACATTTATTTTGTTCTGTTTTTACAGAGATGGCCCGGCAACAATAAATCAATTGGTGATCAGCTCAATCAGCTCTGACTAGTTAATGCTTGACTGGAAATCAAACAAGCTACAACAATCTTGATTAGTCCATCTCTAGTTATGAGGTCAACGACAACATCAACTTTCTGATGCAATGGTGTCCAAGAGACGTGCATCTGTTAGGCGGTCACTGCTTGAGCGTGTTGCACCCGTCTTGGTCCTACAGCTTAAAAAGCTCATGAATGTTTACTGTAACATCATGTTTTTATCTGATTAGATGACTCGTAACATCTTACCGCAATAACAAAAATTGAAGGACAGCCAAGAAAAGAGGAATGACAGCAGAATCGGATTACCTTTTTGAGAGGGATGGCTCGCTGCCACGCGCTCAAAAAAGGCTATAATTTCAACAGAGTTCAGACGTGTGCCCAGTTAGCTCTAATGAACCGTTTTCTCATTCTGTCTGTCTTCCTCATCATGCTTATTTTTAAGCTAAATAGGAAATTTAACAACAGTAAGCTTGTGACTGGTATTGGCTGGTAACCAGCTTCATCATCTTTTGGCCAGGAACTCAAAAAAACAACCCTCTTTGGTGTGGACGTTGTTACCGAAGTAAAAACAGTGAAAAATAGTATCAGTATCAGTGAGATGCTTAGGAGCTCATTGAAAGGAAACACTGAGTCTGTGGTTTGTTCAGGTTGCTAAGGCTAACTGAAGTACAGCAAATATTTTCCATTTGATTTTTCTTTTTAAGCTCAGTTGTGAAACATACTGAATTTGTAAATGTCAGCTTTCTAGAAATCCCAAATGTTAAGGATCTCTACTTTACGTAGATACACAAAGAGTATTTTCCCACCTTTAAGATGCTAACCGCTAATATAAGATGCTAAAGTCAGCTTAAAACGTCAGCTTCGTGATTATGCTATAATTTTAAAAGAACTTCATGTAACTGGACAGAAACTTCTCACAGATATGCAAATAAAAAGTTTCAAAATAATTACATACATCAATTTGATTGTAGTTACTAAAACAATAGTTTAGCTTATTCAGCTAAGTTCAAGTTATTATGCAAAAATGAAGACTTACTGGTTGGGAGTAGTTATGATTGCTGATGTGAGGGAATCGATCTGGCACGCCGTTCCGCACCCCAAAATCAGAATGATTCAGCTGGTGAAACACAAAATGGATTTGATGCGTTTGCTCGAGAGCCCATGTGTCAAAGTCAAGGCCAGCGGGCCAAATCTGGCCCGCTGTAGCCATTTATGTGGCCCGCAAACACTGGGGAGGGCCACATAAATGCAGCTTCAAGATAACAGTTGCACGCCTAAGTATCACTTTATCGGTCAATTCAATGAGAAAAAGATGTTAAATACTATCTAAAAAGTACTCAGCAGATGCAGAGAAACATTTTAAACGTTCACTGAAGGGTAGCTTTATTACAACTTATCTAACGTGACAAGATGGAAATTAGCAACAATGTTTCCAGCCAAAGCCCTTCGAACCTCACCGGTTGCGGATTGCTGTCCTCGTCGTCGTCGTCATCGTCGTCGGTGTAGTCCATGTCAGCCTGCTGGTCTTGGCTTCTCTTTAAGCTGGACTTGCGGCTGTACGTGTAGTGAGGCCTGGGCCTGCCGGGCAGCAGAGGGGCATCCAGCCCCAACTCAGCTCCTGCCATCTGGAAGGGCAGCAAATGTCTCTGGGAAATAAATGTGCAGTTGCTTTACTACGACAGGGTTTCGGCAGGTTTCACCAATTCAAATTTAAAGACCACCACGAATGAAATTTAAGACCTGAATCATGTCAAAATTGTGTGAAACAACCAGCCTAAACCCCAGTAGTGCTAAGCTTTTTCATCCACTTTGTGGGTTGGCAATCGATTGCCAATGGCAAAGACGAATATCATCCAGCCATCTGCTGATAAATTTGAACTTAAAAAAAACATAATGTTTATTGCTTGTTTCATAAATGGTGGCTGTAAGATGTTTTATGACAAAGAATTTTGAACTGCCTTGTTACTGAAATGTGATAAACTTGACCATGATAGACACTAGCTTGCTTTTTTCTTAGCTAGCTAGTTTTTCTCCTCTCCAGGAAACATAACCAATGATTCCTGATATAGCTGCTAATACACTTATGCTAGCTAGCGAGCGTATATTAGCAGCTAGTTTCCAGTAGCGTCAACCGGCTCGAGTCACGGAACGAAACAAATAAGCGACTCAATCATTTGCCTGACAGTAAAGTCCAACAAAAATAAATAAATAAATAAAAATATGTATACAAGGTTACATAATCCTGACACAATGAAATTTAAGACCTGCAATTAACATATTTAAGACCAGCTTGGATTTTAGTTATACCGATTAATCTGGTATTGTATAGCAGTACATATTGTTTTGCGTTCTTTACAGGATAGGTTTTTCATTATTATTATAATTAATATTTTCCTTTTCTCATCAGTAATTTCAGTACGTTGTATATTTCTAATGAAAATCTTTTACTGCACTAACATATTTAAGGCTAGTTAAATTTTTTTTTAATGTGATTTTAGGACATATTAAGGCCTTCATTTTAGAAATACGAATGCAAGTCTTTTTAAGGACGCGCAGACACCCTGTACAGAAACGTACAATCGCCTTATTGCACAAGTGTCTTACCATCGCTTGCCTTTGACACTGCCGTAGACGACACTTCTGCCTTTTCTTGTTGCTGCCTCCAAATTTGGGTTTGTCTATGCAGAAATCGCACACGCCGCAGTCTTTCCTACACAGACAGGCCTTACACTCGCCACAGGAACGTCGCTTCCGCTTTTTATGCCACTAGAAACAAAAGCGAGAGGAGAGAAATCCGAAAATCAAGAACGCAAACTGGACACGATTTCACCAAATTTTTTTTTTTTTTTTTTTTGGAATTCTGTTTTATGGAAGCCTTGAAAATATAGCCTCTTGTTTGTGAGTAGAGGTCATTCGTTCATAGAGGTCGGTAATATTTTCTTCTCAAATGTCAACAAATAGAAGAGCGTTCGAGTGCAGTCAGCAGTCTGGTCAAAGAAGAGTTGTTTACTCTGTTTATTTCGGCCATATTCAAAATAGTCGAAACAGCAATGCTTCAACAGCGATCCCAAAGTTCACTGGATGAAAACACTGAAGACTGTTCAGAGTTTCCGCTCTTCCACAGGTGGAAAAAAAAAAACTAATCTGATTTAAAAAGTAGAATCAGTCAGACGGAAGGTTCTGAAAAAGTAATTTCCCTTTTGATTTCTCCTGTTTTTGTTTGTTAAAATTATGCATTTCAGATCATGAAACCACCTTCAACATCAGAGTAAATGCAAGTGTTTATAGACAATGATTTTATTTATTAAGAGAACAAAATCTACAAAAAAATAGAAAATAAATAAACTAGACTACATAATGCACACTGCTTCTCATAGCTTTAAGATGGATCAATTTGCAGAAAAATAACCAAAAGCACAGATGCTGTGTGTGACAAACTGTCAGCTTTTGCTGCTTTCCCAGCTACTGAGACTGATTAGCGTGCATTACATGCATTTCTTAACGGATAGCCATGACCTCGCCGAGATGTTCGAGCAGTTTCCTGCACTCGGTGGCAACAAAAAAGCACACAACACCTATGGGAAATACCCGGGACAAACTTTGGCAAGCATCTTCAAAAGGCAAAAACAAAACGTGCTCACGTCATCGTCGTCGTCTGTCGACATGTCGTCATCGTCGAGGTCCACGTTCGCCGAGAAGTTCTCCGTGTCGCTGCTTTTGAGACTTGGATGCTACGTGCGGAAAAATGCGATGGGGTTCCTCATTGCCAGATTTTCATTTAGGTAATACGTGTGAAATGCGAGTGCACCGATTGCAATTTTAAATATCAGTGATCGACTCACTGACATTTAAAAAGCCGGTTCAGATTTTGACCGATGCCTTTTTTTTTTTTTTTTTTTCTGAAAAGTCGCAAAACAGAGGGAAAAAGTTGCTAAGTTGTCATCATTTGATTTCCCTTTGCAATCAAAATATTTTTGAATTTTGAATTGACTGTTGCTAACTGAACATGTGCAGATGAGACCTGATCTGCACATGCTGATCAGGTCACATCTGTATGTGACCTGCTGATCAGCAGGGAGACGGCTGCTCTGCAGCAGCCGTCTCTCACCGCAGAGCGAAAGGAGATGGTGATTCTCAGACCTTTGCGGTGGTGGATGAGATCGGTTTGTCAAGTATCGGCCGATTTTGCAAAATTAAAGAAATCGGTGCACCCATAGAGCAAAAGAAAATGAAGGAGCAAGCAGTACAAAAATGTTACCTGTGACTCTGTGACATCATTCTGTACATTTTCAAGAGGAAAAAAAAACAAACAAAAATAACAATTACAATAAAACAGTTAGCAGAGGAAATATTTCAAAGTTGTTCTTTGGAGACTTACACTATCTTCATACGTGTCAACAGGGTCAACAAAAGATCTCTTGTAAGTTACATTTATGCTTCCTGGGCTTTGCTGCAAAAAAACAACAACAAAATCGATTGAATTTTAAACAAGTTCAACTAAGACAAATGTCGATTAGCTTAGCTTGCTAGCCTCCGTCAGCTCACCTTGCGTATCGGACATATGCACCTGCGTTTTCGACACAGGCGTTTTCTGGCTTCGGGGCTTTGCAGTCCATGCTTGCAGTTTGCACACTGACCGCAGTCGATGGCGTTGTGACATCCCACGCACTGTCCACAAGGAATCCACTGACAGTCCAAGAAGAAAAAAAACAGACGGAAAGGTGTTTTTTTTTGTGTTTGTTTTATGTCTGAAAGTCTTAATAATGTAGAAGCTAATAGAGACTACTTTAAAACGTTATGCAGACTGTATGAACTTCATCAGCATGAAGCTGCAGCTTGTTATCTGGAGATACTTTACCTTCCTGAAGCGGATCAGCGGGTGCTCTATCGACTTGGACGTTGCTGAGATTAAAAAAAAGAAAAAAAAAAGAAGGAAAAAAAAAACCCGCATGAAAATGTTTTTTGTAACATGTTTTATTTTTGAAAATATTCCTAATTACACACTCCTACAGACACATACCCCAGCAGGAGGGACAGCAAGGCCGCTTTCTTTGTTTGTCATACCATGTACCTGTAAACGAAATACCACACTTTGCACAGATCCTGTGGAGAAACAGGGCGACATTAATTCACACTCGCTGTGGTGACAGGCACAAACACGAGACAGAGTAAGTCTTAGGCTGGCCGGCGGAGGACCTGGGATCTCAAAACTAGAGGAGTCCACAACCTTGACTTTTTGTCGGAGCTCGTTATCTGAATGCCAGATAACCAGGCATGAAAGTTTCTTTTAAATAACACTGAACAGTTTGTTTTTCAAAATCTTTTTTTTTCTTATCTTATTTTGTTTAGTTTAGACATCCAGAGTTACCAAATTTAATGCTTAATAAAATGACAACATGCTTGAGTGTTACAGGATGATTTGTGGGTGTGAAAACATCAGGCAGTCTTTGGTAAAAATCACTAAACACTTACAGGAAAAAATTTAAATATATATATATATATATATATATATATATATAAATATGAGTCCTTGATACGATTAAGAAGCCAGTTTATAAAAATAAACAAAAGAAAAACAGTGAGCTGTGTTTAGCTACGAACTTACAGGTAGGCCTGTCGCAATAAGCAATGAATGAATTAATCGCGTGATAAATTAAAAAAAAACTCAATTTCCATTTTATGATTTATCGTTTTTTTTCATTTTTTCTTTCTACTAAAAACTGGATGACAAAAGTCTTCAGTCTGGTGCTTTGGTCTCAACTAGACCTTTTTTTTTTTAATACAATTTTGTTTATAACTGCTTCATAATTCAATTATGTAGCGTTTTGTTTATTAGTTTTGGATATTTTCCAGTTCCAGTGTTAAATATTCATTCGTATTTAAAGTTGA